TCGAAAATCGCAGAACTCTACGTAACTGCGGAGGCATCAAATCTTCTACGTATTGTGAGAATCTGCGTATCATTTAGAGAGACTTATAGTACGAGAGAAGGTTCTAGTAGACTCACTCCCTCAACACACCACAGCAGCGCCCTCCGACAACACAAATGGCGCAAAAAAAGACAGAAACAGGCAAGGAGGAGACTACAGGAACACACAATGATGACGTTGCCGGTTCTGCCTACTTGTTGGTCTACACAAACCCACACACAAGACCGTCAATCCGTCCCTAAAGTCCCCGTCAATCAATCATCACAGATCTTGTAGCTACGAATGCATTGCCCCCCACGAACGCCAGCCATGCCACCGCACGAAAAGATATAAAAATCCCAACACAACCAAGTCCAGTCCCCCAAAGCATAACACGGCCCATTCTCCCGCTCATTCCATCGCTCTTGTGCCAGGAAACGCGCCTCACCACACCCTCTCACGAAGTCCTCACCTTTCATACATTGCCGTCCGCCATATTTCAACAAGTCGGCCCAAACTCGTCACTCCATTCCCAAAAACCCCTCCTTTACATGCATGAGTCTGTTCATCCTTCAAACTCAACCACACCTGTCCCAGGCGGCGCCACCACTGTCTCTGCCCGCGGCCGCCCTTGTTCAGGATCAACAGCATCCATGAGACTATGGTCTTGTTCTTTAGAAGTCCCTGCCCCGGCATCCAATCCCTCCAACAAGTCACGATCGGAGCTCTTGACAGATCGATCATCTCCGCTCGGACCCCCAGGGTCCTTTCTAGCGCCGACCGCTATACCAATGTCGTCATCATCCTCCTCCTCTTCATCGGGTCGTTGGCCAGGCACAGCATTCTTCTCGAGCTCCTTCTGGGCTTCTTCCATCCGGCGGCGTACTTCGGTCGCCACGCGCATGCCGTCCGTCACGATGTGGTCTAGAACACCGCGTAGGCCTCTTCCTGCACCGTGGGGGCCAGGTTGGATGGGAATTGGTGGCCGGGAGCTGAAGCCGAGGCTGGCGAATGTAGTCAGCGATGAGCTCCGTGGTGTGGATGAGGCGCTATGGAGGCCTTGTATTAGGTGGAATGAGGAGGGGAAAGATGATTCAAAGAACTGCTCCAACAACTCGTCTGCGAGAACCACCATGCGGAATGTCGGCAAGGTTATGTGCATTGGCTGAGCTGGGTTGAGGGCCGCGTTGGCGGCTACTGACTTGGCCTCGGACACCCGACGTCGGATGTCTGTGCCAAGGCCATCGGTTTGGGACTCCCCCGGACACTTTGTCTGCGAGTCCGTCTGTGGGGAGTTTGTTAAAGGGACTGCCGGTGTCTTTTTCGACTTGGAGGCTTTGGAAGGAGATTCTGAAGCTGGCTCGAAATCCAGGAGGTCCTGCTCGCCTTCTTCCTCTTCGTCGTCATCTTGACCAATGGTAAAGGCGTTTGCGTCTGCATCTGTGACTCCGTCAACATCCCCCATGGATGGTGGCGTATCTTGAAATTTAAGATTGCCTTGCGGATTATCCGGATCGGCGTATTCAAAACATCGACGGATAAAGGCGCTGACACTACCTAGGAATCTCTCATTCACTGGTACGCTGGGCGGCAAGGTTGGCTGGGAGTCCTGAGAATTGCCTGTGTCGTTTTGGAGAGCCACACTCGATGCATTCGGGCTGAGACTTCCTTCGAGACCACGACGGGACAGGAACAGCAACGCCTCCGACATGCGAAGAATGCCTTCTCGGTCTACCTTTCCGTCGCCATCGTCGTCGTAAAGCTCGAAAAAGTAAGTAATGGTACCCATAATATCTCCTTTACCCTTAATACCTGCCAACCCAGTGACGACCTCCTGCAGACTCAGAGCCTCGTTGCCATCCACATCCCACTTCTTATACAATCGCTGGAGGAACTCGTGCTCTGCAGGTTCTGGGCCAGATCCCCATGGTGAAGTATTGCCTGTAGTCCGTCTCGCGTTGTTGAATCTTGAGAATCTATCGTCCCCAGACCCACCGTGATTCCGTGAGTTTCCAGGCGAATCGGAAATGGCCCATTTGCACATGCTGGCCAAGAACTCCCTGAATGCGTCGTAATCCATTCGGTTCGTACTGGGGCCGAGTCCAACACGACCCCTCTCTACGAGATTGGGTATTGATGCGAATATCTCCGACGCTCGCTGCCTACTCGTTTTTGCTCGTCTCTTGGTTTCTTCCTGAATCATCAGATCGCGCTGCTGTCTCTCGTATAGAATGCTGTAAAACCTGTCGTAGAGTGCACCAAGCTCCTCACTTCCAAGTAGCTTGCTGTCGGGCCCAAGGTTTCGGATCGCGGTCCTCTTGGCAAAATTTTCAATATTGTCCAAAACAGCATCTTTCTTCTTTAAGCGTAGTTCTGTAATGCTGCTGTGAGTGATACCTGCGAACTCTTTGAAAGCAACCACCATGAGTTCCTGAAACCTGGTCACCGCTCGAAGCTTGGGGTTTTCTGACTTGGGATGGGCCGACTCGTCCAGTCTCGCAAAATACGACTTCAGGACAGAGATGAAGGCCCCATCATCAGCAGCGTCCAACAGATCTTCGCCATTGATGCGAAGGATAGCCAAGCCAACTTGGAACAACACCTTTGGGCCTTCAACAAAGAAGACGTCCAGCACTCGAAAAGCAAAGATCAATGGCATGGAGTTGATGTACAAAGACAAAAACCAGGGCAGTGAGACGACTGATAATTGAATGTCGCTCTTAACCAAGTGCTCCCACAAGATGGGCATGGTTCTTTCAACCAATGATTCGAACACCTTTTGGTCCAGCAAGGTTCCGTACATGGTGGTTGAATAGTAGCCAGGAACAAGCCGATCACAAAGAGACGACAGGAGAAAGAATGCTTGCGCTTCCGACATGTAGATCAGAAGAGCTGCCACAACAATATTCATGGCTTGGCAATATCCGACATCCGGGTTAACCCAGCTGTATGCGGTCAAAACCCGGCGGAGTCGACTGATGCCTTCTTCGCTCTGAAAACCAGGGTACTCTGGCAAGCTTCTATTCAGATCCTTCTCAATCTCGTCAATGGCGAGTGATTCCTGTCCTTCAAACTTGGCCAAAGTATCGGTGAAAAGACTCGGATTTTCCAATCGCAAGTAAAGAGAGCCCGAGGTAAGCTCCCAAATCTCCCCCCGTAAACGGTTAGGCAAACCAACCCGTATTAGTTTATGAAACGTCGGTTGGCGGATCAAGGTCGCGTTCCTGCCATTATCTCCAAGATACTCGGCCCAGAGCCGCACTTTCGCTCTGTCTCGTAGCTTTTTCGGATCGCCCGGGTATCTGAAAATCATTCCCAGCCCAGCGTCGGGCGGGTTGGCATTCTTTCTGTCTTCGGATCGAAGCAGATGCTCAGAGTAGCATTCTGCGACAACTTTTCGCAGTTTGCCCACATTACCTACACCAGCTCTCAACCCCCTCTTCAGGCCGTCGCAGAATCGTTCGCAATCGGGGCGGGCGCCGGACAAGTGAATCGTGAACCGCTGTTCCCGGGTTTCTTTTCCATCTTTGCCTCCGTCTTTTTCTTTCACATTGTTGTTGGCTAATAATCCGTTCCACGTCGTGATGGCAAGCGCAAACTAGGAGAGGAGAGTGTTAGTCCAAGAATCAAAACCAGGTGCTACGTTACAGCGCAGTTTTTTGGGGGCCTGCGCATGTCACCCAATCACGATGGGGGAGTACTTCTCGTTGGTTAATTTACCTGGAAATTTTGACTGTTCAACCTCTCGACCCTTCTTATAGCGCACAAGGGAACCGTGAAGCCATTCCCACACGGACCAGCGCCATCGGTCTGTCCTGTAAAAGCCAAGGATGTCGAGGTACTAGCGGTTTGGGCAAAGCTTGATGGCGTAGTTGAAAAGCACATGTAAGCTTCGGAAAGGTGAATCTTGCCGGCGTAATGCCATCCTCTATCATGGTCCTTGTCGCCCTGTGTTGCGTTGGAAGGCGGGATGGTGAGCTCGGCGTTGATCTCACATAGGGGGTTTTGAGAGGCGGGCAGGCGAAACTGATTTTGGAATAGCGATGCTTTGGAAGGATTCTTATCGGAGCTGGACAGGTTCAAGCCTTGGGTCGGATCAATCAGCTGCTGGGCCTTTTGCACGATGCTGGCGAAATTGGAAAACATGATCGCAATTCACCAGCGCCGCATGGCGGTGTCAAAGGAAGCGAGCAATCTGTATCTGCATGTGACGAGCAGGGGGCAGCGAGGAGGAGACTGTGTGACGATGCGAGAGGAGGTCCAACGTCTAATTGCGTCTACGAAGCCGACAGCCTGGTCCAGACAGTTGTTGAGTTGTTGTCGTCAAGAGTGAGGTGGATGGGATGTTTTGCGGCAGGAATGTACGAGCTGGTGCGCTGGCATGAAGTTGGGACGTCTTGAGGTGACGGCGAAGGCCTGGCGTGGAACGTCAGTGGATGCGCTCAACGCCAGGGCTAGGGTGGAGCTCATTGGTCCGCATGCTAACTTCGCAAGTCGCAAGCCTGGTGGCGCATTATCCGCCACAGGGGTCGACGCCACAGGGTGATTCACACTCCGTATGCTCCGTAGGTACTCCGTATGTACCTACATAAATGCTCTCCTCTTTCTTTCGATGCAATCCTTGTAATGCTTTCCTTTCCTGATAGTTCGCATTTCCGTCAAAGGCTTCAGGCGTTTCGCCGCCTAAATTCTGTGCTACGAGCCAAGTGGTCCTTGTAACGGGAGCCGGAGGGTGCTCTCGTGGCGATTAGACTATGACATCATAACGTTCTTGGGTTCGCTCCAAGGCTGCATGAGAGCTGATGCAAAAATCGCTGAGACACGTTCTATGTTAGAGGCTATACGGAGTATAGACTTCGAATTGAAATCGCTCTCTATATCAGTGTTGCCATGCTTCTGCGTGCTTCTAACAAAAAAGAGTGACCAGATGGTATTTATTACTTGTCTAAGTTGGACAACCTCGGACATATAGAAAGGTGTGTCTCCGATGCGGGGAATCGAACCCCGGTCCCTGCGGGATCTTCCTTATGAAAGCGCAGTATGATAGCCATTACACCACACCGGATATTGAATGTCCAAACCCCAGCTTAGTTAATCTATAAAGAATACGCACACTCTGAAGGCTCAGAACTTAGAAGCCAGAACAGAGTTGCTTCACGATCGTGTGGCTCCAACACCAGACTCTTTGGAAAGAGATTTTGTAAAAGTGCGAAGTCTGCTAGACAGCTTCTAAGTTCCGGATGGGCAGCATAATTCCGCCAGCTGGCTAGCTGAGTTTCGTTTCCTCCATTCTCTCTACCCCTCCATCCTTCATTCCTTCCCTTTCCTCCCCCTCATGCATGCGACCCCATCATGCCTTGTTGCGTCATCAGGCGGCAGTCAATGGCCTCGCGATGCCTTGCCATCCGCTCATCCATGTGCTCCAAACGCGACTCTTTGGATTGGGAGGATCATGGTCCAATTGATAGTCTATTCACAGCAATATAAAAAAGTATCTACCTGCCGCAGCATTGGCAGCATTCGCGCACTCGACGTCACCAATCCGTCATCCCATCTAAGCCTGTCTAGTCCCGCTCCAGACGCCTCATTTCTCAATCGCCGCTTCGCTCTTGACCAGACGGTCTCCCCGGACCCCAGCCCGTCATCTTTCGTGCCAAAGGGTCTTTGTCGCCCGGCTCTGACAAAACCGTTGCAAAAACCGTTGGCATCAGAACTAGGTAGCTCGCTTTCCACGCTGCCCCCGTTTTCCTTTCGCTTCTGAGCGTCGAACTTTCCTTACGCGCATTCCTTGGTTGCTCAAAAGCCCAGCACGAGCCACGGACCGAGCCTGGAACCTTGACAAAGCTCGGGAAAGGTGTCGCGATCCCAATTGAAACCGACGAGCCACTTCACAGCGCGATTTAAGGACTTCTGCCTTGTCAACGAAACCGAAATCCTCCTCTCCGACCCGCTTCTTGGCGACCGCCCCCCTCCGCACCTCGGAGAGTTTGGGACTCGGCTGCGAGTGGTTGACCTGCTTCTTGCTCGGCCTGCGTCATCCATAAGCAAGATCCCATCAGCAGGAAGCTATACACTTGGTATTTACAGAATACTGGTTCAACAATCCGTCACGTCCGCAGAATTCACCGAAGCAACGGCGCAGTTCATCCCTTGTCTGCCCCCAAGTTGACAAAAAGTTGGTAGCTCGCCTTTGCAGCAAGCACGCATCAACACCAGCGTCGCAGCCGCTATTACAAACATCCCCCTCCCCCCCCCCCATTTCGCCCATGTGCCAGCCGTCTCGACGTCCAACGTGGCCATGAGCTGAATGTTTCTCAGATAGCACAAATTCAGGGCCGCTTCAATGAAAAGGATAGCACTCGTGTCAACACCTGATTTTCCATTCAGTCCTCCCAGACGGTGAAGCACATCTGCGACGAAGACGGTCGATTTTGCAACCTGTCCAGATACGACTCTCAGGTAAACCTCAATCATGCTTCTCATGCTGTTGCTTTGCATAACACCAAGGTGTTTCTTGGATCTTTCGATCCGTCGCTTACCTCAACAACGAATCCGCCAGGCCATCACTCAGCGCAACGAGGTCATACTATTCGAACCGACCTGACATTCGACGGCATGGCTGCTACTGTGGCTCAACCGCCGGCGCCGGCGGCATTGTCTTCTTCGAGGAGTGTAAATGCGCCGGCGGCTTCTGGGTCTCACGTGGCGCACGACCAGCGTCACCATCGACACAATCACTTTCAACCGCAAGCTGCCCCAACAAATTGCCCGCGCGTTGGGGCGTTGCCAAAGACGCAAAAATTTAACCCTGATCACTTCAAAGTGGTTCGCACTCTTGGAACAGGTTGGCAACTTTCCTTTTCCCAGCAGGAGAGGGAGCAATTGGATGTGAAAGAGGGTGAGGGCTTTCACAAAGAAGGCTAAGACACCAGCGCAAGCGCAGCGAACTACTCTGAGATGGAACGCTCTTCTGATATCGAATATTGCTAATTTAATCTTTCTTCGTCACAGGCACGTTCGCACGAGTCTGTCTAGTTCGCCCATCAAATGCTCCCGACATCCCTCTAGAGCAAGAAAATAGAGGCAATACCGAGGTATACGCGCTCAAGATATTACGCAAGACCGAAGTCATCAGATTGAAGCAAGTCGACCATGTCCGTCACGAGAGATCTATCCTGGCCGATGTAGCAGGCCACCCCTTTATCACCAGCCTCCTTGCCTCGTTCTCCGACCACGATTGTCTTTACATGCTCCTCGACTACGTCCCCGGGGGCGAGCTCTTCAGCTACCTCCGAAAGCTCCGTCGTTTTGAGGAGTCCACCGCCTGCTTCTACGCAGCCGAGATCGTGCTCGTCTTGGAATATCTCCACGAGCACCAAGGGGGCGTGGCATACCGAGATCTCAAGCCTGAAAACCTCTTGCTGGACAAGGACGGCCACATTAAGCTGGTAGATTTTGGTTTCGCCAAGCGCCTCGGCTATAAAGACGATCACCCAGTCGAGACGTACACTCTCTGTGGTACGCCAGAGTATCTTGCCCCAGAGGTCATTCAGAATAAGGGACACACCACGGCGGTGGACTGGTGGGCATTAGGGATTCTGATATACGAGTTCCTCACGGGGTATCCGCCTTTTTGGCATCAAAATCCTATTGAGATTTACAAACAGTAAGTTGACGTGACCAGAGAGTGCAGAATCGTAAAAAACGAGAAAGCAAGCGGGAAAAGGAGCAGAAGTGGAGAGACAGGACATTAAACAAGAGAGAGTGAGACGACATGAGAGAAGAGAAGAGCAAAGACGAAGAAAATAGGAACTCATTCGGAAGACGTGGCACAATAACGTCCACATGCTGACCTTGGATCTTGTACTAGAATCATAGGTAAATCCTTGACATTCCCCCAAGATCCACCCATATCAGAGCATGCCAAAGACATTGTCCGCTCCTTCTGCACCGTCGACCGATCCCGCCGCCTCGGCAACCTCAGCGGCGGCGCCAGCCGCGTCAAAGCCCACCCATTCTTCCAATCCATCAATTGGGACGACCTGCTCAGCCGGCGGCGGCAAGGGCCCATTGTTCCGCCGGTACGATATCCAGGCGACGCGCAGTGCTTTGAGACGTACTCGGAAGAGGATGGGAAGAGGGATGCTTACACGAGTGAAATGGCGCAAAAGTATGATCAGTATTTTGTCGATTTTTGAGGAGGTGACACCGGGGAGGGAGGGGGTCCTGACATGAGCTATTGGAACTTATCATTTGGATGACTTGATTTGGAGTAAGAGGAGGAGAGCCCGTTTCTGAGTTTCTTGACTTGTTTAATATTTTGTATATACATGTGTTTGTGTGTTGGTTGGACATCCGTCGCAAATAGAGAATAACTAGAGTCTCAACCTAGAAAAGGACTCCCACTACGTCTAGGTATCATTTTCGTTCTCGAAGTGTTTTGTTCTCGGATTCCCGCACCCACTAGATGAAGTGGAAGGAAGCCCTTTTCTGGGCTGCACCCACGAGTAGCTACAGTTAATCATACAACTCTACACCCACCAAGACGACGATTTTGTATCGCCGCAGGTAACATTGTCGTAGCCCGTGGACTACTTCAACTACCTACCTAACTTACATTATTGCATACAAGCATGCTTGAACAGCCCAATATAAAAGGTACACGACACGGTACACCTATCGTGCCCCCACCGTCTTCACACCAGTGATCAAATATCCCAAGTTCATCACTCGCTACCACCTCACCACCCAAACACAACACCCCGATAGTAAATACTCGAAGAAGAAAAAACGGGAAAAAAAGAAAAAAAAGAAAAAAAAAACAAGAAAACCACCTCGCTTGTAGTAATACACAGAATAACATACACTTATACAACTATCCCGCATTATAAAACCACCAAGTTCCCACCCCCGCCGCAACCAACACAGCCATCATCCACGCACCCTCCTTGGTACTCCACAGCAAAGCACACCACCCCGTCACCAATTCCTTCCGCCTAGCAAGCCTCCTCCGGGACCAAGCCTCACGATCAATCTCAACAGGCAACTTGGCCCGAGGATCTATACCGTGATCACCCTCCGGCGGGGGCCTCATATCCTCAGGCGAAATCAGAGGGACCAGCGCCCTAAAGTACACAGCACGATGGTCGCTGCTCCTCATGAGAGGAAGGGCATCATAGGCAAGGACATGGACGCGGGGAGGTGAGGGATCACTATCGCTCGGCGAGTTGGTGTGTACCCAGGGGGGAACTTCTAGGTACAGCACGCGGTCTGTCCAGCTGGGCCACCGATGAGAGGCAAATTCCCAGGGGACCTGGTCCTCGTGTTCGTCGTCGGTGTCTGGGTTTTCCTTGGGGAGCACGTCGTATTTGTAGGTAGGTGGGAACTGTACACTTGCTTCTGAAAGGCCGTGCATGGTGCGGCCGGCTCTTTTCTCGTGCGTGAGCTGGTCTTGGGGAAGGAAGGTCGGGTAGTAGTGTTCTGATGAGGGGTCCTCACTTGGAAACGTGGCGTTTGGTGGGGGAGATGATGTTGATATTCTGTAGTTGAGGTCCCCGGCCACGAATAGGTGGGAGGATGGCTTGAAGACGGATATATCGTGCAACCGCTGCTGAACTTGGGGCTGCTCCCTGCGGTGCGTATCGTGCAGCAAGCCATGTTGCTCTTGGGACTCCCCGTCATTCTCGTTCATGTCGTCGTCCAAGTCGGCGGATGTTGGTGTTTCAGGCGTGCTTCGCTCGTCGTGTGTGACCCCGGGATTTTCAAACGTTAAGCCACTCATGATGGCAGCCCAGTTGGCATTCCTTTGCGGCAAGTTGTGCTCCATGGCAGCCAGGTGAGCGGCGACAAAAGTCAGCTCTGTGGATTGTGTTCCATCACCCGTGACGTCGTACAGAGCTCGTAGACCCACGGCTCCCTTGCTGCCCATCTCGGCGGTACCGAAGCCAACTGCGGCGTGCTGTAGATTTCGCATGTGTTGAGGATCCTTGGCAAAGAGCAAGATGGCGGTATATCCAACGTTGTGTGCCTTCATCAGCGTATACACTTTTTCGGGCTCGTCTTGTT